CGCCCACCACTACCATAAAGATCCGGCCGTGAAAGGGGCCAGCCAGATCGATGTGCACCCTCGACCAGGGTGTCTTTGGCGTCTCCCAGGTGTGTCCCTTAGCTGCCGGTGGTGCAGGCCTCGATTCTTGGCATGCTTGACAGGCGGACACCCAGGCAGTGATGGCATCGTCCATGTTAGGCCACCAGACGTAACACCGAGCCAACGCCTTCATTTTGACAATTCCCGGGTGGCCAACGTGCAGAGCCTCCAGGACGCGTTGACGGAGTCTTTCGGGAATCACGACGCGGTCTCCCCACAGCAGACAGCCGCGATGAGCCGAGAGTTCATGTTGTCTGGTTGCGAAGGGCTGGAACTCCAATGTGAAAGGCCCTCGTGGCCACCCCCTCCACACCCAGTTGAGCACACAGCTGATGGTGTGATCCTGGGCAGCTGCGGAGGCCACAGTGGCAGCCAATACAGGCGCTGCCGGAGGATCCTCAATCAGGAGGAGCGATGAAGCTGGAGCCGGGTCTTCCACAAACGCTGGAAGAGGGCAACGGCTGAGGGCGTCGGCATGGCCCATCGATTTCCCCGGGCGATGGACGAGCTGGTAGTGGTAGGCAGCCAGGAAAACAGTCCATCGCAGCATGCACGGTGAGAGGACCGGTGGAGTTGGATGATCACCGGCGAGGAGGCCCAGGAGCGGCTTGTGGTCAGTGATGAGGTCAAAAGTCCTGCCATAGAGGTATTCATGGAACCTCTTCACTCCAGCCACAAGTGCCAGTGCCTCCTTGTTGAGCTGGCTGTAATTCCGTTCCGTTGGAGATAGCGTCCTGGAAAGTAGGCGAGCGGTGCTTCTCTTCCGTCTGGAAAACGGTGACTAAGGACAGCGCCGATGCCAAAAGGTGAGGCGTTGCAGGCAAGGACCAGCGGCCTGGCTTCACTGTACTGTACCAGCACTGTCCGATGAAAGGAGAGCCTTGACCGCGTTGAAGGCCGCCGTCTCCCGATGACCCCAGGACCAAGGCATCTTTGTGCTGAGGAGTCGGTGAAGAGGCTCAGCCACCGTGGCTTTGTGGGGCAGGAACATGTTATAAAAGTTCAGTAGCCCCAGGAACGCCTGCAACTCCGTCTTGTTCTTTGGGATGGGGGCCTGCTGGATAGCGCGGATCTTGGATGTGGTCGGGTGAAGGCCGGAGGCATCGATAAGATAGCCCAGGAACTCTACCTGTGGAACGGCGATCTGGCACTTCTCCCTCTTTACCTTGAGCCCGGCCTCTTGGAACCTGGTCAGCACGGCACGGAGGCGCTCAAACAGCTGCTGGTGTGAGTCTGCGGACACCAAGACGTCATCAAAATATGGTACCACGCCCGGAAGCCCTTGCAGGAGACGCTCCATAAGGCTTTGGAAGATGCCTGGAGCCACACTCACCCCAAACTGCAACCGGCGGCAATGGAATGCCCCTCGGTGGGTGACGATCGTCTGGGCTTCAGCAGTGGCATCATCGACGGGCAGTTGTTGATAGGCTTGGGCAAGGTCCAGCTTAGCGAAGACCTTACCCTCACCCAGGGAATGCAGCAGGTGTTGGACAACAGGAACCGGATAAGCGTGCTGCTGAAGTGTCTTGTTGATCGTGCACTTGTAGTCGGCGCAGATTCTCACTGACCCGTCTGGCTTGACAGGCGTGACGATGGGGGTTTCCCACTTGGCGTGGTCAACCGGCTCCAAAACTCCTTGGGCGATCAGCTTGTCCAGTTGTTCATCCACCTTAGCCTTGAGAACAAAGGGAACCCGGCGTGGCTTTAGCTTGATGGGGGCGACTTGTGGATCAAGGCTAAAGGAGATGGGCGTACCTGTATATTGCCCCAAAGTGCCATCAAAAACCTCGGCAAAGTCTTTGACCAGACCCTCAGTCTCTGCGTTAGAGATGCAGTTGATGCCGGTGACTTCCAGGCCGAGGGCATCAAACCAGTCTAGCCCTAGGAGGCTTGGCCGCTGACCTTCTACCACCACCAGTCGGAGCAGGCCCGAAAAATCCTTGAAGGCGATCCAGAACCGGCCAACACCTACCACGGGAATGTCGTTTCCCTGGTAGTCTCTCAGGTGTACGCGGTGAGAGTCGAGTTGCCTTTTGGACACTCTGGGTACCAGTCTTTTGATGGTGCTCCAAGACACGATGGACAAGGCAGACCCGGTGTCGATCTCCATGTCACATGGAGCTCCTTCAATGAGCACCGTGACGTTCAGCTTGCGTCGCGTAGGCGAGTCGGTTTGGCCAGTCGTGGTTCCAGACGGGCAGCGGCAGTTGGTGAGAGCGAAACAGCTTTCCTTGGCAGACTGGAGTGAAGACTTGGACTTGCGAGTCGGTGAAGGGGGGTGTCAGACGGAGCCGATCAGCATACCTTAGCGATGTGGCCCCTTCTGGAACACTTCCTACAGGTGGCGTCTCTGAATCGACACTTGGCACGGGAATGGTTGCCTCCGCAGCCAGCACATTCCGGTTGGCCCTTGGACTTCTGTTGGAACTTCCTGCGCTCCCGCTTTGTCTCGTGCACGTCATCGTCTTCACTGGAGGATGCCTCATCACTGCTGGCCTCTTCATGATGCACTGGAACTGGCTTCCTAGCAAGACGCGGGCTGCTGGACTTGCGGATCTCCTGGGCGGAGCGTTCAGCAGCTTCTGAGGCCACAGCCTCCTCAATGGCTTTCTGTAGCATGAGGTCTGGCTTGGCGAGGAGACGTCGTTGCAGATGGATGTCCCGGACCCCGCAGACGATTCGATCCATCAGGGCATCGTCTAAGTCTCGGAACTCGCAGTGCATTGCTGCCTGTCGCAGGGCGGTGGTGTAGTTGTTGATTGACTCCCCCTCTGCCTGGTTCCAGTGGTAGAACGCATGGCGGGCAGCAATCTTGGACGGCTTTGGTGCGTAGTGGTTGCGGAGCTTCTCTTGGATCGTGTCCCACGGTGTTGCCTGGACTGCTTCAGGCGCAACCAATGCTCGGGCCGTCTCAAACACCTCAGGCCCACAGAGGCTGAGGAATAGGCCCCGCTTACGCTCCTGTGATACTTGCGTCAGCTCGTTGGCTTGGAGGTAGCAGTCGAACCGAGCGAGGTAGGAGTCCCATGATTCAGAGGCTGGCGCAAATGGCGGTAGAGGCACAAGTGAAGCCATGATTCCGATGCCGGAGAGAAGGGCGATGGATGGAACACCGTGCTCTAGCCAGAACAGTCAGCTCTGAATTGGTTCTGTTCAGTGATTTCGCTCAGTGATTCAGCTCAGTGATTCAGCTCTGCTCAGAGGTGGCTGCATCTGGCTGTGCTCTGATGTCCATCAATCCCATCCTCATCGCCAGTGTTAAGTTGCGGGCGAACATAGCAGATGACACAGTGATTTCTCCAGAGGAGCTCTTTATTGTAAGCTGGACAGAACTGAACAGCAAACAGCTCAGCCGGCTGTCAACATTGTAGCAACAACAACCCAGGGTTTCCCGCCTAAAATAACTGACGTGGACCTGAGTGAAAACTATCTACAGTATCCCCCTGCTGGCCCAGGGTGAGAACTTTAGTACATAACAGTAGACTACCAAAAACTTTTTTTGAGATGACAGACAACTTGGATTTAGTTGATATTTGGAGAACAAAGAACCCTTTGGCTAAAGAGGGAACCTTCTTTTCTGAAGCCAAAATGACATGGACTAGAATTGACCAAATATGGGTAACTAGAGGAATGGCACCTAAGACAAGAAAAGTGGAAATCTGCCCAAAAACCTGCTCCGACCATAATGCTGTCAAGATGGAAATGAAACTAACACCAACTGGTTCCTTCAGATGGAGGATGAACGACACCTTATTTAGAGATGAAGAAGTGTTTAAGAAGGCCCAAAAAACCTTGAGAGACTACTTTGAGATAAATATGAGCACCAATGTGGAAAAAAGAGTAATCTGGGACGCTAGTAAAGCTGTTATGAGAGGGTTCTTGATACAACAGAATGCATTAAAAAAGAGAATCCAGAATGAGAAGGATAAAATTTTGGAGAAAATAAAGGAAAGCGGGGAAAAATTGAGAGCAAAACCCAAGTCACAAGAGATTTTGAGAGAAATAAAGTTATATCAAGTGCAATATATGAAAATGTTGAATCAAGAGATTGAATGGAAAATTAAACAAATGAGACAAAATGAGACAAATGAGACAGAAGACATTAGAGTCGGCTAATAAATGTGGGAAACTGTTGGCTTGGCAAATAAAAAAAGACAAAAATTAAATACAGTTACAAATTTAGAAGTGGAAGGAAGGAACATACAGAACCCAGCTGAGATTAGAAATTGCTTCCAGAGGTACTTTAAACAACTATATACACAAGGGCCACAGAAAGAAACTGACGTTGACCGATTTTTGAAAAAAAATGGATTACAAAAAATCTCTCAAGAAAACAAATTAATGTTGAACTATAAAATAACTGAACAGGAGGTAGAAGGTGCCATTCAGAATATGCAATTGGGTAAATCTCCAGGACCGGATGGACTGACTTCTAGATATTACAGATCTTTAAAAGAATGGCTAGTACAACCTTTGAAAGAGGTCTGCAACTAAATAATGGAGGGGAAAAGGGCACCAGAGTCGTGGAAAGAAGCATATATCACACTTGTACCGAAAACAGAGACTGAAAAGACGCAGCTTAAGAACTATCGTCCCATATCACTGCTTAATGTGGATTACAAAATTTTTGCAGATACCATATTTTTCGCTCTATAACACGCACCTGACCATAACATGCACATCGTTTTTAGAGGAGGAAAACAAGGGAAAAAACATTCTGAATGAAACAGTGGATGTATCATTTTTGTGCTTCATGCTGTGGCCACAGACATGTGATCTGATGGTGAATTTGGGGTGACCCAATGCAAAAATCCTGAGAATTCCTGTGGATCCATGCTTTGTAACCACGTTTTTGCACCATTGCAGCCCCAGGCAACAGTGGGTGCGTGATTTCTTTGGTGCAGGCTGTAGCCTTGGACATGCTATGTGATCTGATGGTGAATTTGGGGTGACCCAATGCAAAGATCCTGAGAATCCCTGTGGATCCATGCTTTGTAACCACATTTTAAGTGGGGAGCGAAGGAAAAACAAAGAAGGGACATGAGAGGGGTGTGCAGAGAAGTAGCTGGCTAAGAATGCAGGAGAGGGATTTAACGGGAGGGAGGAAAGAAAGGCAAAAGTTTCTCCCCGCCCAAGCCAGCCATCTCTCTCTCTCTCTCTCCCTCTCTCTCCCCTCTCTCTCCCTCCCACCCCTCTCTCTCCCTCCCCCCTCTCTCTCCCTCTCCCCCAGCAGCACCGGAGCACAGAGAGGAATTAGAAGGAAGACACTCTGCTTTCCCCTCTGCTTGCCTGGAGGGGAGGGGCTTTCCCTGCTCTTTGTTCCGTTTGAGCAAACACAGCAACGAAACAGAGAGGGTGGGCAGTAAGACCCTGAGGCAGAATGCAGGAAAGCAGCCGCTTCCTCTTTTCAGGTTTCCCTTCTCCGTGAAGCGCGATTTGATTTTTGCCTGATTTTTCGGCTCCAGGGACCACACATTCGCTCAATAACACGCAAAGACATTTCCCCTTCCTTTTTAGGAGAAAAAATCTGCGTGTTATAGAGGGGAAAATACGGTATCTTGGCTAAAAGACTAAAAAGAGTGTTAGTGGAAGAGATACATAAAGACCAAGCAGGCTTTCTCCCAGGAAGACATTTATCTGACAATGTGAGAAACATAATTAACATTTTAGAGAAACTACAAGTGAATATAAACACTAAGGCAGTTTTAATATTTGTGGATGCGGAGAAAGCTTTTGACAACATTTCTTGGACTTTTATGAAAAAGAACTTACAGGGTATGGGGGTAGGCCAAGGTTTTGAAAACGGTATAAGTGCAATATATTCAGAGCAAAAGGCTAGATTAATTGTAAATAATGTGGTGACGGAAGAATTTAAGATAGAAAAATCTCCCCATTGCTTTTTATATCGGTTCTGGAGGTTTTGCTGAATATGATTAGAAGGGACCAGTTGGTTAAAGGTATACAGGTCGGAGCCAAACAGTACAAATTGAGAGCATTTGCAGATGATTTAGTATTGATGTTACAGGAGCCAGAATCTAGTACTAAAAGGGTCTTAGAACTGATTCAAGAATTTGGTCAGGTTGCAGGGTTTAAACTGAATAAGTAAAAAACCAAGGTTTTAGAGAAAAATTTAACACCAATAGAGAGAGAGAGGTTTCAGAATATGACAGGTTTAACAGTGGTTAAGAAAGTCAAATACTTGGGGATCAACATGACAGCAAAAAAATGGGAATTTATTTAAAGACAACTATGAAAAATGCTGGGTTGAAGTGAAAAAAGATTTAGAAATATGGTCAAATTTGAAGCTTTCACTGCTGGGTCATATTGCTGCTATAAAAATGAATGTATTGCCTAGAATGTTGTTTCTGTTTCAGGCATTGCAAATTGTGGACAAAATGGATTGTTTCAAGAAGTGGCAGAGAGATATTTCAAGATTTGTCTGGCAGGGCAAGAAGCCTAGAATAAAATTTAAAATATTAACAGATGCAAAGGAAAGAGGTGGATTTGCCCTGCCAGACTTTTAACTTTACTATGAATCAGCAGCTTTTTGCTGGTTGAAAGAATGGCTACTTCTTGAAAACACAGACATTTTTTATTTGGAAGGTTTTAACAATGTATTTGGATGGCATGCATATTTGTGGTATGATAAGGTCAAAGCGCATAAAGCATTTAAAAATCATATTGTTAGGAAAGCATTATTTAATGTTTGGATAAGATATAAGGATTTATTGGAAAATAAAACCCCAAGGTGGCTGTCACCGATGGAAGCAAAAGCTCAGAAAAACCTCAATATGGAGGTTAAATGGCCAAAATATTGTGAAATTCTGGAACAAGATGGAGATAGACTAAAACTGCAGAGTTTTGAGAAACTAAAGAACAAAGTGCGACTGGCTTCATTATTATTAGATAATGGAGGCATATAATTTGGACAAGAAAATTGGCTTCCAGGTGGAAAAAATCAAAATTAGAGACAGAATTGCTAGAACCCAAAACTAAGATTTTGTCAAGGATGTATAACTTGCTGTTGAAATGGAATACTCAGGATGAAACGGTGAAATCTGTTATGATTAAATGGGCACAAGATGTTGGACACAATATTATGTTTGCTGACTGGGAACAGTTATGGACCACAGGTATGAAGTTTACGGCATGTAATGCCTTAAGAGAGAATATTATGAAAATGGTATACAGGTGGTACATGACCCCAGTCAAGCTTGCAAAAATCTATCACTTGCCCGATAATAAGTGTTGGAAATGTAAAGAAACTGAAGGTACATTCTTTCATCTTTCTTTCTCCTCATCCCCATCTTCTCTCAACCTTCCCTCTCCCCCATCTCAAATCCCCTCAGAAACGGCTCTTTATTTTCCCTCCAAAAGTGACTTCCGGGGTGGCGCCATCGGCAATGGCGGATTCCCTCTAACTTGGAGGGGACCAGCTCTGCAGAAATCGGGTCTGCACCGCTGGCACCACCCCCCTCTGGGTAGCCAATCAGAAAGAGGCTCTGGCCCTCTGGTGGAATGGTGAGGCACTGCACCCCCAGACTCTGCTCTGGCTCTGCTGTCCGTCACAGCAGCCAGCTGCCCCAGCAGGCCTTGCAATCTCCCCACCGCTTGAGCCGTCCTCCATTGTCTCCCAAGACAGACGGATGAGGAGAGAGCCATTCAGGGGCCACAGGAAAGGGGCATCAGGGGCCGACAGAGGCAAACTGGAGTGGGGAACCATCGCCGAAAGGATGCCTACCTCTCTCTTATTCTAAAAGATCACGCCACATATTTCCACGAGTGCTGCGTAGATTCCGGCAACAGTCTTCACAATTTATGTATTCAATAAACATTGGTCACGTGTTATAAAAGGAATACGGATTGTGTTCCCCCACCTTTTGGATACTTAAATTGTGATGCCCAGAACTGAACACAGTATTCTGGGTGGGGTCTGACCAAGGCAGAATAAAGTGGTACTATTCCTGCCCTTGATCTGATTCTGCCTTCTGCCACGTTGGCCTGTGCTCCCTGTTTGGTGTCGTCCCCAAATGTGATGAGCATCCTCTCAGTTCCTTCATCCAACTCATTCATAAAGACGATGAATGACAACGGGCCCAGGACTGAACCCTTCAGCACCCCTCTTGTCACTTTCCCCCAGGATGATGAGGAACCATGAAGGAGTCCTCTTTGGGTTTGGTCTGTCAAATCCACCAAACAGTTACCTTGTTCAGCCAAAATTTTACCAGCTTTCTCACAGAAAGATCATGGGGGACTTTCTCAAAAGCCTTACTGAAATCAAGATGCACTATTTCCACAGCTGTTCCCTGATCAACAAAGTTTGTAACTCCATCCAAAAAAAGGGGAGGAGAGATTTCTCTGGCTTGACTTGTTTTTGGGAAAGCCATGCTTTCATCCTGTATGTTTCTGTTGTGAAATCTTCAGATGGAGGGCACATAAATATTAAAAATGATAATAAATAAGGATATTGACAAGCTGAAACATGTGCAAAGGCAATTTATGTAATTATTTAATTTGTATACTACCCAACCCAGTGGTGCCAACTTGAATAAAACATTGGTGGGCGGCCAGGTAAGGCCTGCCTTGCACAATCACATGACGCATGCAGGTCATTGGAATGGCAATGCCTATCAACTGGGGGGGTGGCCCCCTCAAATATATCATTGGGGGGCAAAATCCCCTCAGCCTCTAAAAGTCGACTCCTGTTCCCACAGGTCTAAGGATGGTTACAACATAAAAAAACAACATAAAAACACAAAATATACATCTGTAACCCCCCTCACTACCACATTTTAAAAGGGCATTAGATGTCAATCAGCAAAAGGCCTGGTTGACAAGGTACGGATTTGCCTGGCTCCTAAAGCTGTATAATGGTTGTTCCAACCGTTGCATGAATTGTCTGATGGGAAGTGAGATAGGAGCCCTTAGTGAAGCTCTTTCCACATTCCACACACTGATAGGGTTTCTCCCCTGTATGAATTCTTTGATGGGAAGTGAGATAGGAGCTCATACTGAAGCTCTTTCCACATTCCATGCACTGATATGGTTTCTCCCCAGTATGAATTCTCTGATGGGAAGTGAGAGAGGAGCTCTGACTGAAACTCTTTCCACATTCCATGCACTGATATGGTTTATCCCCTGTATGAATTCTCCGATGGGAAGTGAGATAGGAGCTCTGACTGAAACTCTTTCCACATTCCATGCACTGATATGGTTTCTCCTCTGTATGAATTCTCCGATGGGAAGTGAGATTGTAGCTCATACTAAAGCTCTTTCCACATTCCACACACTGATAGGGTTTCTCTCCTGAATGAATTCTCTGATGGGAAGTGAGAGAGGAGCTCTGACTGAAACTCTTTCCACATTCCACACACTGATAGGGTTTCTCCCCGGTATGAATTTTCTGATGGGAAGTTAGTTGGCTTCTCTGACTAAAGGTCTTTCCACATTCCAAGCACTGATAGGGTTTCTCCCCTGTATGAATTCTGTGATGGGAAGTGAGAGATGCACTATGACTGAAGCTCTTTCCACATTCCACACACTGATAGGGTTTCTCTCCTGAATGAATTCTCTGATGGGAAGTGAGAGAGGAGTTCTGACTGAAACTCTTTCCACATTCAACACACTGATAGGGTTTCTCTCCCGTATGAATTCTTCGATGGGAAGTGAGAGAGTCGTTCCGACTGAAGGTCTTTCCACATTCCATGCACTGATAGAGTTTCTCTCCTGTATGAATTCTCTGATGCTTAGTGAGATCAGAGCTCTGACTAAAGCTCTTTCCACATTCCACGCACTTATAGGGTTTCTTTCCAATGTGATTTCTTTGATGGGATGTAGAATGGGAGCTCTGACTGCAGCTCTCTCCACATTCCAAATTTTTGCATGGCTTCTTCTCTCCGGGGGTTTTGTCATGTTCATCCTTGTTCTTGTTTTCCAATTTATCAAAATCTGCAATGGAGACAAAAAAGGGATTAGAGCCTCAGGAACAAATCAAGAAGAACTGGAGGGAGTTGGGTCTTTGTTCATTGCCTTTGTTGGTTGTCATTAACCAACATTTTTATTCATATATTCTAATGGATTGTTGAATGTTGATTTGTTTGATATACAGTAGTGGCCAAAATTGTGGAAGCCTTTTGGGAAAAAAGTATATTTCAGATGTTTGATGCTTCGTAACACGACTTCGTTTAGAGTAATACCACAAAATTATGTATCAATGGAAAGATAATTTAATGAAGAATGTAATTATCTGTATTCTATCAAAAGTCATAGCGGAATAACCAGAAAAAGGAAGCACAACTTGCTTAGCTTGACTTTTGTCAGTGTGTTATGTTATACTGTGGAAAGTTGATATAAAATTTACAGATTGTATATTATTAAGAGAGAATTACATGAAAATGATGTATAGATGGTATATCACACCAGTGAAAATGGCAAAGATGTTTAAGAAAGAAAATAAGAGATGCTGGAGATGTCAAGAAAAGGAAGGAACATTTTATCATATGTGGTGGGAATGCAAATGCATTAAAAAATATTGGGAAATGATATATAATGAACTGAAAAAAATGTTTAAAATGAGCTTTGGTAAACATCCTGAAGCCTTTCTGTTAGGTATCTCAAATCAAGAGCTGCCAAAAGAAAAATGGACATTATTTATGTATGCTACAACAGCGGCAAATATCTTGTCTGCACAAAATTGGAAGATGGAAGAAATACCATCAAAAGAACAATGGTAAGAAAAACTGATGAATTATGCAGAATTGGCTAAGCTAACAGAGAAAGTACGAGAGAAGGACAAAAAGGATTTTAAAAGAGTTTGGGAACCATTTACAGGTTATTTGCAGAAAAAACAACTGGCAGGGTCTGAATAAACGTTCACAACTTTATTATAGTAACAGAAATTTTAGCAAAATGATAAGGGAATTTACTTTTACATAAAGCAGGACACAATAAATAAAACTAAATAACTCAGTAGAGGGGGAGTTGAGGGAAGTCCGGAGAACGGAAGGGAGAACATTTGTATATAACATGATGATTGAGATATTTTTATTTGTTATAAAATTCAATAAATATTCATTTTTAAAAAAGAAGATTGAGGAAAACTTAACCAAAGCTGGCCTTTCTACATTTGTGAAGAGGTATAAGGAGACTTCCGGGTTGGCGCCATCGGTAATGGCGGACTCCCTCTTACTTGGAGGGACCAGCTCTGCGGGAATCAGGTCAGTACCGCTACGGCGAAGCGGGGACCCTCTAAAAATCACAGGCGGGTGAAGCCTGTGAGCGTGGGACTCGGCGGGCACCCTTTGCGCCCCCCCAACTCGTAAGGAAACCCGATCGCGGGCTCCGGAGCGAAGCGGGGTGAGTGGTGCGGTGCTGTGAGTCAACTACTTCTTCCGCGGAGCGAAGCCGCACAGCTGTTACCGGAGAGCGCTGACTTTTTCCTGTGACAATTCGACTACAAAAGCAACTATCCGTGAGTAGGATAAATTGAAAAATTGAAGCAAAAAAAAAAAAAGGTTTAATTCGGCAACGAAGCGGGGAGGCATAAACAGGAAGTTCGCCTTCCGTTTCTTGTAAATAGACTAAAGCAAAGAAGCTGCAAGCTAAAGCCTTGGTTTTTTACTTATTCAGTTTAAACCCTGCAACCTGACCAAATTCTTGAATCAGTTCTAAGACCCTTTTAGTACTAGATTCTGGCTCCTGTAACGTCAATACTAAATCATCTGCAAATGCTCTCAATTTGTACTGTTTGGCTCCGACCTGTATACCTTTAACCAACTGGTCCCTTCTAATCATATTCAGCAAAACCTCCAGAACCGATATAAAAAGCAATGGGGAGATTGGGCAACCTTGTCGTGTCCCTTTTTCTATCTTAAATTCTTCCATCACCACATTATTTACAATTAATCAAGCCTTTTGCTCTGAATATATTGCACTTATACCGTTTTCAAAACCTTGGCCTACCCCCATACCCTGTAAGTTCTTTTTCATAAAAGTCCAAGAAATGTTGTCAAAAGAAATGTTGTCAATTTGGATTTAGTTGACATTTGGAGAACAAAGAACCCCTTGGGTAGAGAGGGAACTTTTTTTCTCTGAAGCCAAAATGACATGGACAAGAACTGACAAATTTGGGTAACTAGAGGACTGGCTCCAAAGACAAGAAAAGTGGAAATTTGTTGACGGAAATGACTGGCAGATTCCGAGAACAGGGAGAAGAGTCGGTGGAAGAAGACTGGAAGAAATTTAAAGACTATTTACAGAAATATTGCAAAATTAATGAATGTTAGAATGATGTTGGATTGAAATTAAGTGGTTTCTAGCTGTAATGGTATAAAAGAATATGAAAAAAATGGTTTTTTAATAGGCAAAAATTTAATGCTATAATAATAGATTAAGATTAAAGATCAGGATAAAATAAGGAGGGAAAGGAATTGCTGAACTAATAAATTGAACTGGAATACAAAAAAGGGAGGTATGAGGAGGTCCGGGAAACAAGTAAATGAAAGATAAGTGATGAAAAGATTGAATTGTTTTTAACTATTTTTATTTTGTATTTTGTATTTTTCTTTTTCATTTTGTAATATTGTAAAAACCTTAATAAATATTTATAAAAATAAAAAAAGAAAAGTGGAAATTTGCCCTAAAACTTGCTCCGACCATAATTCTGTAAAGATGGAGATGAAACTAACACCAATTGGCTCTTTCAGATGGAGGATGAATGACACCTTGTTTAGGGACGAAGAGGTGATTAAGAAGGCCCAAAAAACCTTGAGAGACTATTTGAGATAAATATGAATACTACTGTTGAAAAAAGAGTAATCTGGGATGCAAGTAAAGCGGTCATGAGAGGGTTCCTGATACAACAGAACGCAATAAAGAAGAGAACTCAAAATGAGAAGAAAGACAAAATTTTGGAGAAAATAAAGGAAGGTGAGAAGAAACTGAGAGCAAAACCAAAGTCGCAAGAGATTTTGAGAGAAATAAAGTTATATCAAGTACAATATATGAAAATGATGAACCAGGAAATAGAATGGAAAATTAAACAGATGAGACAAAAGACATTTGAGTCGGCTAATAAATGTGGGAAATTGCTGGCCTGGCAAATGAAAAAAAGACAAAAACTCAACACTATTACAAATTTGGAAGTGGAAGGAAAGAATATACAGAACCCAGTGGAGATTAGAAATTGTTTCCAGAGGTACTTTAAGCAACTATATACACAAGGGCCACAGAAAGAAATTGACATAGATCGATTTTTGAAAATAAATGGACTACAAAAAATCTCTCAAGAAAACAAGCTAATGTTGAATTATAAAATAACTGAACAGGAGGTAGAAGGTGCCATCCGGAATATGCAATTGGGTAAATCTCCAGGGCCGGACAGCTTAACTTCAAGATACTATAGATCTTTGAAAAGTTGGATAATACAACCACTAAAAGAAGTTTGCAATGAAATTTTGGAAGGGAAAAAAGCACCAGAGTCGTGGAAGGAAGCTTACATTACACTTATACCGAAAACTGAGTCTGAGAAGACACAGCTTAAGAATTGCTGCCCCATATCTCTGCTTAATGTGGATTATAAAATTTTCGCAGATATTTTGGCTAAAAGATTAAAAAAAGTACCAGTGGAAGAGATACATAAAGATCAAGCAGGCTTTCTCCCGGGCAGACACTTGTCTGATAATACGAGAAACAGAATTAACATTTTAGAGAAATTACAAGTGAATATTAACACCAAGGCTGTTTTGATATTTGTGGACGCGGAGAAAGCATTTGACAATATTTCCTGGAGTTTTATGAAGAACCTACAGGGGATGGGGGTTGGTCAAGGTTTTGGAAATGGTATAAGTGCAATATACTCTGAACAAAAGGCTAAACTAATTGTTAATAATGTGGTGACAGAGGAATTTAAGATAGAGAAAGGGACACGACAAGGTTGCCCAATTTCCCCATTGCTTTTTATATCGGTCCTGGAGGTCCTGTTAAATATGATTAGAAGGGACCAATTGGTTAAGGGTATACAAGTCGGAGCCAAACAGTACAAATTGAAAGCATTTGCGGATGACTTAGTATTGACATTACAGGAGCCAGAATCTAGTACTAAAAGAGTATTGGAACTGATTCAAGAATTTGGTCAGGCCGCAAGATTTAAGTTGAATAAGTTAAAAACCAAGGTTTTAGAGAAAAATCTAACAGTGATTGAGAGAGAGAGGTTTCAGAGGGAGACAGGTTTAACTTTGGTTAAGAAAGTGAAATACCTGGGGGTTAATATGACTGCTAAGAATGTGAATTTATTTAAAGATAACTATGAACAATGCTGGACGGAAGTGAAAAAAGATTTACAAATTTGAAGCTTTCATTGCTAGGCCGTATTGCTGCGATAAAAATGAATGTATTGCCAAGAATGTTGTTTTTGTTTCAAACTTTGCAAATTTTGGATAAAATGGACTGTTTCAAGAAGTGGCAGAGAGATATTTCTAGATTTGTCTGGCAGGGCAAGAAGCCCAGAATAAAATTTAAAATACTAACGGATGCAAAAGAAAGAGGTAGATTTGCCCTGCCAGACCTTGAACTTTATTATGAATCAGCCACATTTTGCTGGCTGAAAGAATGGCTGCTTCTTGAAAACACAGACATTTTGGATTTAGAAGGTTTTAATAATGTATTTAATAATGCATGCATATTTGTGGTATGATAAGGTCAAAGCACATAAAGCATTTAAAAATCATATTGTCAGGAAAGCACTGTTTAATGTCTGGACAAGATATAAGGACCTACTTGAAAATAAAACCCCAAGGTGGTTGTCACCGATGGAAGCGAAGGCTCAGAAAAACCTCAATATGGAGGCCAAATGGCCGAAATATTGGGAAATTCTGGAACAAGAGGGAG